ATTATACTTAGGTTTACAAAATAGGCTTTTGGGAACATGTTTTTCATTATACGCATATTTTTCTATCTTAATTTATACACAGTGTAACAATTTCCTTTCTCAAATATTAAAGTTTTGTGATAAGGCTTCCAGCTTCCCATAGATAATGACAGATACCTAAATTACCAAATCCTCATGGACCCCGATATAAACCTTTGAGATTTAATAAAGGAGGAGTCAAATAAAGGTACCCATAAACCATGCCTATGGAGTAACTAGAGAAAGACAACTTACAGACTTTTATTTACACGTAGGTGGGGGATTTGCTAATACCAGCAAAACTGGCTCAGAAGAGCCCACTGCAATAGAGAGTCAAGGTGAAACTAAATGAAGAAAAGAGGAGTACAGAAGTCTCCCTGGAGTGAGGGAACACTTATTAAACAGAGTTCACCTTCAGCAGAAGAGGGCCTCACACTGAGCATGAAATCTCAAGATCAGGTCTGTAACATGAGCACCAGTTCCTGGAGAGACAATAGAAGGGGCTTAAAAAGTGCACAAGACCCGGATGCCCGAGTCACTTACAATGGACAGTCAAGCAGGTTGGCATCAGACTGCTTGTCAGCAACAGTTGATGTAAGAAAAGAATGAAACAATATCTACCAGAGTCAGAAGGCATAGAATATGGACCAAATACTATGTCATATCTACCTAGGCTCTCCTTCAAATGTCAAAGTGATATAAAAACATGTTAAACACGAGAGAACTCTGAAAATATTTTACCCCCACACGTTTCCCAAAGGGGATATACTTCATCTAAGAAGCTGTGTTTGGGGAATCTCTGACAAAACGACAGTCATGAATACATTTCACTAGAAATTTGAGGCCAAAAGAAATGTAGGAAGTATATACACATTACCTACTTGACAAGCTAGAAATACCATATCCCAACAAAATGGGAGGCAGAGGAGAAGAAAATAGACAAGCTCACTGAGGGCCTTCCTGGTAACAGATGAGAGTCAAGTGATGTTGTTTTAAACTGACAACACTGAATGGCTGGAGACTAAGGATACTCAGGAGCACAAAGATGAGCCTTAAGAAATAGAATATTGTTGATGAAAACTGCATGGTGGGAAGAAGAAGAAAAGGATTATAAGCTATTACGTTGGTGCAAAAGTAATTGAGGTTTTTGCCATAATAATTTTATTTTTGCTCAAAGTAGGGAACCAAAATATACTGACTGAGGAAAAGAGGAAAGAGTTAAGGAGAATATATAACATTTTCTTATAAAGATAACTATTGGAAAACAATATAAATTTTCCCAATACCAAAAAATCACCAAAACCAGAATAAAACCACAACAAAAACCAGTTTTTAAAAGGGCAAAGAAAAGATAACATAATGAAATACTTCAAGAGAGTATATTTAACATAGAATATGTTAGTACCAAGAAAACAAACATATCAATTGCGTCAATAAATGTAAACACCTATTGTAGTTATAATCATTTAAAGTATGAGTTTTATTTTCTTATAAGCAATAAAGAAAAGCTTCACACTGCATAAAAACCGCACACTGTATAAAAAAGACACAATCAAAACAAAGGGAAATGACTAAAAGATGACTTTAAAATACAGCAAGGAAATGGAAAAAAGAAAAGACTCAAGTGTCATGATTTAAGATACAGTAGAATTTAGGTGGAACATTAGTAAACAAAAAATAAGATACTTTGTAATGCTAAATGCTAATTTATACTAATAACGTAAGATATGTGGCTATCTATGAAATAAACAAGAGCAGCAATATTCATAAAACAGAAATTGCAAGAGATAGAATGACAAATACCAAGAAATATCCTAACAGTAGAAGACTTTAATACACTTTCTTAAATCCAAGACATATCTGGAGGACAGGAAATAAGTAAGGATATAGAAGACAGCATAATAATAAGGCAGAGTTTTATAAAGTAGATATCAACTTTTGTAGCTTGATATTCTGCAATATCACTTTCTTTTCATATTCACGTGACATAATCATGAAAATTGATCAAATGATAAACAACGGGCAAATTTTAGACAATTACAAAAAGAGAAATAATACAAACAGGATTTTATGACTGTAAGACAATGAAACCAGAAGTTTTTAACAAAAAATAATACTTTAAAAATACTTTTCCGACTGGAAAACTAAAAACTATCTATATTAAACAACTCAAGTTAAAACCTAGGAAAACAAAAGTTGCATTTTTTCTAGGAAAAATAATATTACATTTCTAAATTTGTGGGGTATAGCTTACACAGTGCTTAGATAAAAATATATAGCCTAAAATCATATGCCAAAAACTGAAAGAGTGAAAATAAATCAATGTAATAAAAAAGAGGCAACAAAGTAAGCTGATAAAAACTGATTTAAGAAACATAAAAGCAAAATTTTGTGAGTTTGAAAACTAATAGAATTAAAAAACCAATAAAAAATTAGGTCTTTGGGGAAAAAGCTACTGACTAATCAATTTTAAATGGAAAAAACAATAATAAAATAAATGAGAAATTTCAAGAAAAAAAACTATAGGAACAGAGGATTTTAAAAAATCATAAAATACTACCTTGCATAATTCTATTAAAACAAAATTTACATATTTACATGAAATAATTTCTAGGGAAATAATGTCTAGCAAAACTGAACCTAGTTAAGATTGATAATTTGAGTAGACCATTATTAAAGAAGAAAAATAAATTTGTCAAGGAGCTACTTCACAAACAAGTACCACAAATAAGTACCTCAATGACTTTACAGGGGAGTCACACCGAACTTTTAAAGTCTAGATAATCCTTAAACTATTTAAATGCTTCAATAGCATACAAAAAGGGGAAGAAACTCGCAATTATTTTTTGAAGGAATTATAATATTGATACCAACACCTTAGAAAATTGCACATATGCAGGCAAAAATTATAGATCACTCTCCCTATTGGATATTGACACAAACTGAAAAATTAATTTGAGTTAAGAAAACCCAACAATGTATTACAAAATGAAATATAACATGTCCAAATGTGACTTCTTCCAGGGATGCAAGAATGGTTTATATCAGTAACTTCATTTATAAAATGTATTAAAAAATAAGGAAAAAAAATACACTCATTTCCACAGAGGCTAAAAAAGGCATTATACAAATTTCAGCACCCATTCTTAAAAAATTTAAGTCAGTGGAAACTTTCTTAAAATTATAAAGCACACAAATGAGGAATGGTTGAATTAAAGGCATTCGCACAACAACCAGAGCCAGGCGTAGTGTTCACTGTTGATTTCTTTTTAATGATACCTTGGCGGTAATAGCCAGCACATTTTAACAAGAGAAAACTATGGGATGTACAAGAATTGGAAAGGAAATATAAAACAATTTATATTTTATGTGATAGAATATTTGAAAAATTCATAAAAGTCAAAGTATAAGTCACTGTAAAGAAAGAATTAACTAAGATAGTTGGATGTAAATTTAATGTATTCAGAAAGAAAAGTTACTTTTATAAGAAAATACAATGGGGGAAAAAAGTCCCATTTTTAATAGCAGCAACAACAAAAGTTAAATGCCAAAGAGCAAAGTAAACAAGTGAGGAGAATTTTAAGAAATTCCTGAAAGACACAAAAATTAGACTTAGAAAATAAAAATACGTACTATATATTTTTGAATAGAATGACAATATTACAGAGACATCAGTTATCTTCAAGTTAACTTATACAATTAATGTGAATCCAATAAAAATATTAAATATTTCTTCTAGCTGTAGAAAATTTTTTTCTAAAGTTCACGTGGAAAATTAATCAAAAAATAACCTCAACCTTCTGAAAATTAATATCAAATAATAAGGAATCATGCTATATTAGTTATTTATTGTATATATAAACTGTATGATTCTGAGGGATAGATAAACCAACAGAACAGAATAGAAAATCCAGGAGTAGATTCAAGCACATATGGAAGTTTAGTGTATAATAAAGGTGGCATCTTAAATTACTGTTGAACAGATAGACTTTTTAATAAATAATGTTAGAACAATGAATGAGCCATTGAGAAAAAGATAAATTAACTGTATACCCTGCACTATACACCAAAATAAGCTTACAATGCATCAGAGATCCTAAAAAATGAAATCATACAAGTTCCGGGGAAAGGAAGTGATTTATTTAGAACCTTGGAGTGGTTAAAGCTTTTCTAATTATGTCTCAAAAATTCAGATGTAACAAAGGAAAGAGTTATAAATTTAGACACATTACCAAAAATCCCTTTAAATAAAAATTATGAAAAAGATAAAAGACACACTATTTTCTAGGTAAGCTATTTGCAGCTTACTTTACAAATTGACAAGATAGAGAAAAAAACAACCAAAATGTATAAAAGAAATGAACAGTTGACAAAGAAATGTCTTTTGTGCTTAAATATATGAACCTTACTCATAGAATAAATATAAACTAAAGCGAATTGAGGTGCTAGTTCTCACTTATGATGATGACAATTGTTGAGAAAACTGATTCTGACTCTCTTTGTCGGCATAGTTTTGGGGGAAAATGCTAATTCATGGCTGCTGGTAGTGTAAAATGGTTTAAAGCATGTAGAGGAGAATTTGACAGTACCTGAAAAGATTATATATGCATCACCCTTGACCCAGGAACCCCACTTAAAGGACCCTGAAGATACATTTGTCCAATAATATACACATGAAAATACATAAGCAGAATTTATTCTGGCATTATTTGTAATAGACAAAGTCTGAAAACAACCTAAATGTCCATCAGGTGTCAGGGGACTGGTTAAATACATTATATTATATCCAAGTTAAATGGCTTCCAGAGCAGCCAATAAATTCTGGAAGGCAAAAGGTAACATGAGCTAATGGCTTACTCATGTAAAATTATTTTACTTCAAATATAAAGATATTTTGAGAACCGAACTGATATGAAGACTGTTAAAGTGACTACAGTAGCAGAATTATCAACAGCATTGAGTACACATTGCCTTTTACTTACGGTTTACAGTTTTGATTGGTAATATTGGGTTTACCCTCTCTGGGGTGGCAGCATTTTCATCCGTCACATATTCAAAATTAATGATGAACATCATAGCCACGCCCTCTTGGTTTTTCACTGGAATTATGTGAGTGTTACAAATAAAAGTGGACCCTAAGGAGATTAAAAATGAATGTTAGTTAAAAATATGCCTTCGTTTTGAACTATCAAGTAACATTAAAATTGAAATACACTCCTAAGGAAATTTGTATCTTAAATGATCTCTGATATTAAAAAATAATTTGATCTTTTTTACTTCGTATTTTATTGCATACCATATTCATTTAAAATATATATGTTTTTCCAGAAAAACATTATAAATAAATTCAGTTACTACATTGTGGAAAAACAGAAATATCAAATTCTATTGCTTTCACACCCATCCCTCTAATAGTTAATTTTTAAAAAGATATATTCTTTAACTTTCTAGAAATAATTCTTATCATTTTCTTATAAATTTTGATTAAATCTGAATCTCTATAAAATATAGCTGTATAAAAAATGAAAGTAACTCATGTCATCTTGATTTTAACAATTAGCAACTTATGTGCTTTTCTAATTTATTAGACATATAATAGTAAATTATTGACTCTATCTTATATACAGTAATTCTTATATTATCTTATATTACAGTATATAAGATATACTTAATACTATCTTACATTACAGTAATTCTTTTCTGTGCAAAATTCACAACGTCTAAATTGCAATGGTTTTGTCTGTTTTTTATTCTGTTAGAAAATAAGAACAAAATTTTGTCTATATTATTGCGTTAGTAATCTTCTTCATGAGATGATATTCTTCAAGATGATATTCTTCTAAAAGCAAAATTACAGGGCTAGTAAGATACATTTCATTAGAATTATCTGGAAATGAAATAAACAAAGGTATGACTCAGTTTGCAATCAACCACCACCATCCATCTTCCAACAGAAACCTACAGGTCCAAGATACAGAGCAGGTACTTGAAAAGCAGACTTCTTTTAAATCAGCTGACTGCTGACTGACTCCTTGCAGCTAACTTCTAAAATTCCTCAAAGCAGTTTCGTCACACTTTTACCCTCTGACTATGCTCTTTAGTCAAGGTAATGGAAATTTCACAGGCTTGAAATTTGTTTCAGTTTCAGCTATTTAAGCTACAAATAAAGTGTTTTTAAAATGCCAAAACTTCAGAAAGTGTTCTTAAGCATTTACAAGCTTGTCCAACCCCGTGGCCTGCGGGCTACATGTGACCCAGGACGGCTTTGAATGTGGTCCGACACAAAGTTGTAAACTTTCTTAAAACGTTGAGTTTGTTTTATTTATTTATTTTAGCTCATCAGCTATCGTTACCATTAGTGTATTTTACGTATGGCCCAAGACAATTCTTCTTCTTCCAATGTGGCCCAGGGAAACCAAAAGATCGGAACCCCCGATTTAGGAAATGCATCCATTTTGACTGCTGTTGTTTTTCACAACTAACTCTGCCACCTTGAATCTTGTGGAGAATGATGGTTCAATGTAGAGGCGGGGGCAGGTTGAGAGCAAGATTAGTCTGGCACGAAACATCAGAGAGAAATGTGAGCAAGTGCCAGGACCCCTGGAGGCTGGCGATAGGGGCCGGGCAAACAGCTGAAGGATGTTTTTGGGAGCCCTAACATCCGCAAAGGCCAGTAGATGCGAGTATTCCCAAATGGTGACCTATGTAAGCTCTAATAAAGTCAGCATAAGAAAACTCCTTTCTTCTTATCCTGCATCTTGGCTCCTGCTGCTAGAGCTGAGAACAAAAGCTATTATGGATATTGCTATAGATCGAGGACTTCAGAGGGAAGGGATTTTGAGGGTAAGCCTGTAGATCTAACAATTATTTGTAAAATTGTTTCCATGGGTAAATATGTTCTAATTTCCAAGGAATTGATCGACAAATATACTTTTAGAAGGACTCTTTGTAAGTTAGGAATGCCTATGTGCTCCTTATAATTCAGATGTGCTAGTTATAATACAAATGTGGACAGCTTCCCAAATTTGAAATGTGGATAACTTTATTTATAACTAATTTCATATTTTCTATAAATGTGGCAATGGCTTTACAGATGTTGGAAAATATGCCTTAGGAACGGCAAGCTGCACCTTCAGTCTTCAGCTTCTTCAGCTATGTCTCCAATTCATTTAATAAAATAGTTAGCTAGAGCACTTGTCATAGTTTCCATGGTAACAAACGGGATGACTTTAGTAAACAGAAAATAAGCAATTTAAGACTGTTCTAATAGAACTAAAAATAGAAGTGCTTCAGGCCAGGCATCACAGTACACACTGGTTAAACAGTCTGAGGAGATGCTAGAAATAGTCATTATGTACTTTCCTAATGAACCAAAATACATATTGATTTTACCATTTAAAATGACATTTCCTGGATCATTTAGAATATCATTGTGAATTCGCACATTTGTTATTTAAGCAGTTTCAAATTTTCCAACACTTGGGGTGTACCGTTGACTATAAAAAACATAAAAAAATGCTTGAGAAATCAGGAATTAAAATATGTGGGGATAGGGATCTAATAGGTTTGTAATAGAGCAATTTTGCTTTTGGTAATATGAGACAAAATCATGTTTTTCAATACAAGTGTTTGTAAATGTACTGACTAGTCCTAAAAATCATAAAATTATAGTGCTTCGTATAAAAGTTCAGCTATCTGCATTGGCTCTAAAGCATATTAAATAAATGTAATTAATCTGGGATTTACTGCCCACTATCATTGTTTCCTGTACATTCCTATTAAGCAATATATTTCCTCTAAAGTCAACTGAAAACTCACATTCACATGCTTTTCTGTTTTAGTTTGGGGATTTAATATCTCCATCAATCTTGCATAGCCTTCTGGAAGGCAGACAATGAAAGGAGATACATGGAATTTAGAGGAAGAGAAGAATAGAATACATTTTATAGAACAAAAATATTTAGCTTGGATGATTCTACAAACTCCAACTAAGTTCTGTCAAGATACTACTTTGGTCAGGTGACATTGCCCTAAGAAGTCATCACTCTGTGCTCCTAAATATTTCTCTTGAATGTAACATTGGGAACAAGAGCAATGGAAACCTAATCCAGCAAACATTAGCCAAGCAACAACAACAACAAATAATAATAATAATAATGTGGAAATAAGACTTCTAAACAAAATTAGAAAAATTTCAGACCTTGTTAAATGAATCATATATTCAAATGAAATTAATAGTGTTTGTTAAGAACCAGATTATTTACAATAATATTGGCCATTATTTATAAAATTATACATGCAATTATACTAATATTGTTAGACTACGGTTCATATCCACATTTTCTCTCCTGAGTGAAAACATTTCCAAAGTGGAAAAGACTGTTTAGGAGGAATAGTGCTAATTTTAATAAAATTTTTAGAGTATGTGATTTTTTACTGCAGCCATAGAGCAAACAAACTCAAGGTAATCTGAATAATTATGAAAAGTATACTTTATTTTATATATTGGTGGCATACACCTAGTTGCACTTTACAATAAGATGCTGGGACTCCTCCTTTTGAATTGCTTTAAAGGTGTTTTATTGTACTGTGTGTGGTTTGTGTTCACAGGGCATCTTATGTCTTTGAGGAACAGTGTAGAAGTCAATGTTACTAGGGCAGTGTGTGGTGGTTGTGGGACAGGGCAAGGTGGGGAGAGTAGGCAAGGTCAAGGGAGAAGCCAGAAGTCACTGGGGAGAAGGCCAAGGAATGGATCTGAAGCTTTTCACTACGTTAGACAGGAAGGCATTGGAGAGTTTTATCCAGGAGTTAGCATGATTTGATTTAAAACTTTCCTTCACGTGTGTGTGTGATGATCAGCTTACAGAGGAGGCTAGGATGGAAGCAGGGAGGCCATTTGGGAAAATACTGCAATAGCCTTGGCAAGCCATGATGGTGGTTTGGTCCAGGGTGTTGTTGTTGTAGGTGGTAATGAGGGGTCTGTTTGGGATGTTTTGAGGTAGAGCTTATAGGATTTGCTGATATATTGGATGGGACATAAGATAATGAGAGGGGTCCAAGGTGACAACAAATTTGGTAGTTGAAGAAGTAGCAGAACCATTTATTAAAATGGGGAAGACTGTGGAAGAAGGTGATTTTTGGGATTGTGTAAATCCATATGTTTTTAGCATGTTGACTTTGCAATTGTTTATTAGATATCCAAGTGGAGATGTTGAGAAGGTAGTTGGATCCAGGAGACTGAAGTTAAGTTCAGAGATTGGACCAAGCTAGGAATACAAATTTGGGAATCATTAGAGAATGGATTACATATAAGGACTGGATAAGGTCATGTAGGGAATCAGTATAGTTGAAAAACTATGTGACCTGGGTCTGGAGGCATCGTAGAATCAAAGAAGGGAAGAAAAAGAACAGCAGAGATTGGGTAGGAGCCGACGGTGAGGTGGAAAGATAGTCAAGATTGTGGTGCATTCAATAGCAAAGACATGGAATCAGCCTAAATGCCCATCAATCACAGACTGGATCAAGAAAATGTGGTGCGGATACACCATGGAATATTATTCAGCCATAAAAAGGAATGAGATCAGGTCTTTTTCAGGTACATGAATAGAGTCGGAAGCCATTATCCTCAGTAAAGAAATGCAGAAACAGGAAACCAAACACTTTGTGTTCTCATATATAAATGGGAGCTGAATGATGAGAACACATAGATACATAGAACAACACATACTAAGGCCTGTAAGATGTGGGGGATCAGGGAGAGGGAACATCAGGCAGAAGAGCCAATGAATGCTGGGTTTAATACCTAGGGGATAGGATAATCTGTGCAGCAAACCACCACGGCACACATTTACCTATGTAACAAACTTACACATTCTGCACATGTACTCCTGAACTTAAAATAAAAATTGAAGAAAAAAAAAAAAAAGGCTGTGGTGTATTGCAGGCTAAGAGAAGAGGTATTTCAAAAGGAGGGCTTGAGTAATAGGAGGTCATGCCTTGATGGTCTTCTATGTTCTTGAAATTCAGTCTTTTGCCATTGGGAATATAGCAAATTGTTTTAAGCATGAAAGTGTGTTCAGAAGTATTTTGGTGTCCAGAGCACATAGACATGGACTGTGTATTAGTGATGTCTTAA